TCCTTTAAAGCATTCTCTATTATCCAAGCTCCTTCACCTAAGGCAGGGTTCATTCGTCGTTGAAGCACTTTCCTCTGAAGATCGACAGAGAATTTTGAAAGTACTTTTTTCACAAGGAATGATCCGTCCATGGGTACGCCCTTCTCTTTTAGCTGTGAAACTATTGGAATAAGAAGTTCTAATAGCCGACGTTGTGATGAGGTCGATGATTTTTCGGCCTTTGCGCTTTCTAAACGGGACTGTAGACACGCTATGAATTTGGTGTCATCACCGTACTTTCTGCGCAAGAGTTCAATAGTATTGTCATAGTTATCTTCAGTTATTGGATAACGTCGCACAAGCTCTCGGGCTTCCCCTTGCAGCGAACTCAGTAAGTAATTAAATTTTTGTAGTTTAGTTAACGGTTGGTTGTGGACATTAGCTGCGAACAAGGTCCAGAAGTTTTGAAAGTCCCAGACCTTGCCACTAAACAAGGGTATGGGAATTGGAGGTAGCGTTGTTTGCGCAACTCCTATTTCCCTCGTAGTCGCATGCTGTGCTTCGAAATTGGGTGGAATTTGCGCATGGTCTCTGGCGCTCGTACGGTTGCACTCTAGTTGGATGGCTGCTGTCTGTGCAAGTTCGAGTGCGCTGTGCGCTTTTGTGACGTAATCGTCTACTTGCTTCTCATGCTCTTCCGTTAGCGCATCACCCAGTGAGTCACACATAGCGGTAAATGCGTTCAATGTCTCAAAAAGTAAAGTTATGGAAGAATTGAGCTGAAGTGCTACCGATTGTGCTCTTCTGGAATTCTCATTGTGGTTCAACTTGTGCCACTGTGCAACCAACCACGGCGCAACACCGGACTTTTATTTCCACCTCAAACTTGGGTATCTTGTCAAGAGCGCTTTCTGCGACTTTAAGGATGTGGGGCCTGCCATGTCAGAGAGAGAAGAAACGTGAGATGAAAAATTATAGAAAAACCAGTTAAAAAGAAGAAAAATCTTCAGGCGCAAAGATTCAATCCAAAGAAATCTTCACTGCGCTTCGCCGACGAAATCAAAAAGGTAAAAAAAAGGTGTAGAGAATAGTACCTCTGTGTTGCTCAGGTCCGATGTGGAACGGCCGATGCACCATAAAATAACTTCGGTGGTTCAACTTGTGCCACTGTGCAACCAACCACGGCGCAACACCGAACTTTTATTTCCACTTCAAACTTGGGTAATTAAACACAATCTGAGGGAAGACTTGCCACAATAGTAAATGGAGATCTCACCAATCGAGAACTAAAGGAAGGCACTATAATGAGAAGCACCATAAATGAGCATATGTGCAGTACAAAGAGGCTACAACGGAATATAGAATAAGGCGCAAGGTATAATACAACGAAGCTATAAAGAAATATAGGATATAGCGCAATGTGTCATACAATGAAGCTATAAAGGAATATATGAAGCTACAAAGGGATATATGATGAGGCGCAAAATACATCGGGCGCAAGCATCTACGAAGAAGAACTAAGGTCTCGGCGCATGCCAGCGTACTTATCGGTCGCTGGCATTTGCCTCACAAGATCTAGCTGATAAGCGTTGAATACAGAACATTCCCGGCAAAACAAATCTCTAATCAGATGAGAATGTTGAAGCTCTGGGAACGATGGAACTTGAAGCCATGAGAACGATGGATTGCAAGGATCGCGGTCTAACCGCGATATGTATAACACTGCCCAGCTGGCCAACTTCCCCTTCCTCTAGTCTATCACTATAAGCACGCATAGCACATTATGACACTTGTGCGACAATAGATTGTCAAAAATTCGGGACGAATTGGCTGTAGGCAATGGTGTAACTCACAAATTTTTAAAGTAAGCAACAGGGCCTTCTGCGCATTTGTCTCAATTCCCCATTTTCAGACGTCGAAGCCACGCTGAAGCCGCTCTATGAAAAACTCGATAGATACGATCAAAAAACGAACTACACGGCCACTGTTAACTTCTCCATAGACAGGGAGTCATTGTAAAGAGAGACGAAAACGTTGTGTATGGAAGAGAACGTGAGCAAATCGTATCTTTGTTGATAATTGGAAAAGTTTACATGTAACACATGCCGACCCTTTAAGCATCATTTGCTCGAGCGTCCGGTAGCATCTCCGTCCGAGTCTGAAGTTGATGCGGGAAAGTTTGTATACACCATTGATGCCTCCTTATTCCAAGCTCTAAGAAATCACTTCCTTTGTTAGGAGCTCTCATAAAGACTTCTGAGCGTGCAGCCCCTGGTTGATCTTCTTCTGAAGTTCTGTGAATTTGATCAGGAACCTTACCTTAGGGGCTTTCTCTTCGGTTCAAATTGTTCTTTTATTTGCCTCAACCCCAATTCATTATGCGGACTATTCTGAAAATTTCATAACTTAAATATACAACTGCATATCGATTGCATTTGCCTAAGACTCCAAAAGCAAGCCAACGTATAGCTGAGTTTTTTTCACTTCAGAAATTGCTAAGAAGTATGAGGAACTCTACAAGAGAATTGGCTAGCACACATTCCAGGTTAGTGTTTGCTTTTTTACACGAATATATGTATGAATCAACGAGTATAATAACTGTAAGCTAGCAAAAAGGGCTACCTCCCCAGAGTCCTCCTTTATCTACAACAATGTATGTTTTCATTTCAGTTGAGCAACGAAACTTACCAAGGCATTCGCGACCACATGATGGCTGAGTTCAACTTCGAGGTCCTCAAGACGAAAAAAGGACCGCTGAACTTCAGAGGCCAAATGATCCATATTTGGAAAAGAGAAGATGGAAAATGGCGAATCTATCACGAAGAATACAAACTGCTTGAATAACTGTTTGAGTTCCGTAGTGTATGTCCTTCTCAATAAAAACATTGCTATCACAAATGTAACTCTGAGGTGAAGTCCCAGTGAATGCATTCTTTCGATCTCTACATACAAGCGAGAGAGACAGCCCACCACTCCGGCTTACAGCGTTCTGAGTACAGCCCTTCGCTGTTTCTCTCTCACGCGTCGTCGATGTCTAATATCGAACAACACCTTTGACAGGAGATATTGTGGCTTTGGAACACTCATAGCAACACCTACGTTAAGAGCAACTGTGACATCAGTCGTAGAAGGACGAAAGGGGAAATCATGTACAGTAGCTTTCCTCGTACTTCACTACCCAGACAAGCAGTTTGATGTCCATTGACCATGACGTTTCGGTATGAGCTGTTTCGTTCGACGCAAAAGACATCACAAACTGAAAACAATTGTCACGAACTCTTTTCAAACGACTTCGCAAAGAAAGTCAACTTTTTAGCTATGAACACGAGAAAAAAATGTTTGCTGAATCATTCCAGCTGTCCTTGGTCATATCTGACCAAAACGTTCGATAGAATCAATAGAAGAAATTCCTTCTTTCGCGAAGCATTTTTCTTTTCTACGAAAGGTGAGCGCGTAGGGCATTGGCCTACGCGCTCACCTTTTCAACACAGCTTTCCCTCGTGCTTTGACATACACTTGCGAGACTTGGTTTCTACAAAACTGGATGAGCATGCAGTCTGCGTCTTTGAGCGAGTTACGGAAAGTCCATTG